TGGTCCCAGCTACTTGGGAGGCAGAGGCAGGAGACTCGCTGGAGCCCAGGAGTTGGAGGTTGCTGTGAGCTGTAATGCCATGGCACTCTACCCAGGGGGGCAGCTTGAGGCTCTGTCTCAAAAAAAAAAATAAAAAAAAATAAAACTGTAAGCTTCACGAGGGATAGGACATGCCTGATTAGTACCAGTTTGATAAATACTTGCTGAGTAGATGAAAGAATGAGTGAATGATAATGACCTTAGCTAAAAGCAGTAATAGCAAAAATAGAAAAGTGCAGATTGTTAGGAGGTAAAGAGCAGTTGTTGGTGACTGATAGTTTGTAGGAGCTAAGGGAGGTGAGTCCAGAATGAGCTCAGGTGTCTGCCTGTGTGATTAGCTGGTGACACCACTGGGGATCATCCTAACGAAGGTGCAGCAGGCAAAGGGAAAGGTGGCGGGTACATCCTGAGCCGTGCTGAACTGGAGGCACCTGTCGGGTGCACCCGTGGCTTGAGGGAAGATAAAGGCTGGAATGGAGAGTTGATTAATGTAGTCTGTTCAGAGAAAAGATGGAGAGGTGATGGAGGTAGATTAAGTTTGACACTATTTGATAGTTAACTGGCGACAGAGCAAGAAGTTGAGAGACATGGTGGGAATGAAAACATTGAGTTGTGGTGAGACAGCTAGTGTGTGTAAGACTTTCAGGAGCAATTAGAGCCACACAGCAAATGTGCAGAGAAGTGAGCAGTGAGCCAGATTCCACCAGACCCTGCAGCATCAGATGAGGTGGCTAAGGAATGGTAGGGAGTGTCAAGTGGAATATCCAGGCTCTCTACTCTTGCCCATGTTTTTTTTTTCCCCCTGTTAATATGAGGGTACAAACCATAATGTTGAGGTCAATCAGCTCAGTGTTTGTATTTGTTAGGTAAGGTCCCTGTTGTAGCTGTGCCCCTCACCTAGGAGGGGTGCCATATAACCTTACGTTGTGCCCATTTAGGGAGAACACACCAAGTGCCTTAGGATTTGTAAGACAGGCCCATTGTCTGAATAGGGAACACCAGAGAAGAGCCTAGATTGAACGAGGGGGGGGCCAGAAGCCATGAGCTTGTTTTTTTTCTTTTTTT